AAACAAACGTAGAGTCGCATGCTACGCGGGCCGCAGACAACTCAGCAGCCGAGGGGGCACTCGTTATCGTTTCAGCTCTGGATTTGGCGCGCGGCTCAGCGCGTGGACGCCACTCGTGCGACTGTCCGCAACCGCCTTTCTTTTGTCCCCACGGGACAACTCGCGCGCATGCAGGCAAATAAGGGCTGAGATGAAGAGAGGGGGAACGCGCGCGCCTCGAGCGAAACTCGAGGCCATTAGTTGAGGCGAGCCATAAATTAGCGGGGGCCTACCGAACCGAACAAACAAAAATAAAATAAAAACGGCTACCTCTGACGCGCGGGCGGTTTGGTAACTCTGTCTCACCTTACCATGGAACGCAGCGAACGCTACGTGCCATCGAAGCCAATGTAAAGCCGCGTGAGAGCCACGTGACCATCGGGAGAGGCGACCGACGTTGCTCATGTACTCTGGGACAACTTATTCCGGCGTTACCGAAGAAGGGAAGACCGCTCGAGTACAGTTGTGGTCGGCGCTCTATGTAAACGAGCGCACGGGTAACCATAGCTTTGGCTTCATTGCCAAAAAAACAAACATCTAAAGTTGTCCTTCAGTAAAGTAACGTTGGCAGCGACGCGAAGGCCGCCTACGCTCAAGAGACTACCTTTTATGGCATTTCAGAATGGAAGATTGCGCGTGCACTGTTTCAATCGGCGCTCGAGGCGGGCGAGCGTGCGGGTGCCTTCGTGGCTTCATGGCCCGGAAAAAATTGTCCCCAAAATACTGTCACATGGTTCGTTCCCAGCGCTGGATTGGCTGGGATGGTCTGTAGCCTCCGCCGCGGTCCACCTCGATGCGAAACGGAATCGCAGAAGCGGGTCGGCGACCAAGCTGGAGCGCAACCGCCGGGGCGAGCGCGCGCGCTCGTGTGGCCGGCGCACGCACGTCCATGTCCGCACTTTGTCACGCCGCCCGGGGACACGTCCAGAGGCGGCGCCCGGCCGAGATGGGCGCCGCTGATAGCGCCGGCCGTGATGACGGCCGGAAGCGGCCGCCCGCATCCCCCGCGCACCCGGCGGGGAAAACCTTTGTCTCGCCCGGGGCTCGGACGGACGGTCGGACCGCCGGACGGAGAGGAGCCTCGCGGACGGAGTCGGCATCTGGTCCCGATGTCGACCGATTGCCGGGAAGCACGAAGAACCGAGTAACGGACGCGGCGCTGTGCTCAGAGTTGTATACATCGTAGCAACGGGGGCGTATATCTTACGCGAGCGGTAATCGACGGGGACTTTGAAAGATCAGGGTTAGCGAGAAGCTTTATTGCGAAGTGCTGCAAAACGTGGCAGTGGTGAGGTAAGTGGAGCGAACGCTCCCAAGCGCGCTCCAGCAGATTTCACTCCACCGGCTCGGGGTTCCCTTCCGTATAAAGTCGTTTTTCTGAAAGTTTTCTTTTTTTGAACCTCGTCTGACTTATTTAGCCGTATACAGTTTGCTTCTTTATTTCCCCCTATATCAATCGGCAGGTTAATAAATGGCAGCCACTGCTTGACAGTGCTGCAATATACCCCTCCCCCATTCAAAACTCATTACGGCTCGCGTCATTCCCTCTGTCATCTCCCTCAGCGAGGACGTCGCACCCACGTGACTCACCTCTTCCGAGAGAGCACCTCGACTGCTGCAGACTCCCTCCGCGACGCGGTGACACCCGTGCGCGTCGCTTTTCCGCGTCGAGCGTTCGGCCGGCCGTTCCACCGCGATCTGCCATCCGACAGCGGCGCAGCGGCACCGAGCGAGCCGTCGGAGTTGTTTTCGGCCGGGTTTACGCCAACCCCCGGAGAAACAATGGGCTGATTGACGCGCCGGAGGCAGGCGTGGCTGCGCACACACGACTCGAAAGCGTTGTCGGCCGCGTGGGTCACGCTCTTTCAATCTTATAAGCGCCCACGCGCTGCGGCTCTGACGTCATATTGGTGATGTCGGCACGGCGGATGGGTAGACGCTTCACCCGTCCGAAATTTGGTTTCTGCGCACGCGCAGTGCACGCACCTATTGTACGCTGAACTGTTTGTAAACAGAGTGGCAGTGTATGCGGAGCGCCAGTTCGTCTGCTTCTTGCACAGGGGTTTCGATGATGTCAGAACGCCGAGCTCTTATTGGATGATTAAAACAAATAGTGGGTAAACCTCAAGGTCTCTACCATTGAGGTCTACCCACTATCGTGCCGATCATAGCCAATGAGAACTCGGTGTCGTTCTGACGTCACCGCAACCCCTGCGCAAGAAGCAGGTGACTTTCCGAATGCGACGAGCAAGTGCTCCAATATGCGCCTTCGGCGCTTCGGAACGCGAGGAGCACGCCAATCAAAAGGAACAACAGAGAACGAGCAGGGAACCCGCAATGATGAGGCAGCCGAACACGCACCGTTAGCGGTTGAGGTCGGGAGACAAACAAAAGCACGTCGGCTCAACTGGAGGGTAAACAGACACACGAGGTGGGCAAAGCGCGGACAAACTTGTGCGCCGTATACCAGCACCTACCTAATAAAAAAAAGCCTAAGTGCTTTCCTGCGGCACTAAAGATGTCCAGGGGATATCTAGGGATTGGACACGACTAGGGAGTTAGCGTTTGGATAGGAGTCGTGCCTTCTCTGATGGCATGCGAGTTCTATTCGAACGCTGACGCTGTATCGAATCTGTCACCCACATACGGTGCATGAGCTTGTTTATGGGGACGAAGAAAAATTGGGCACTTAGGCCTGAAACACACGTGAGCAAAGATCGCGCCGCATTGCGCCGCCGAAGCAGCATTACCATAGCAAAAGTCGCTGACGCTATCGCGGGACGGCACCATGGTTACGCCACTTGGCGATGCGACGCGACACGATTCATGCTCACGTGTGTTTCGCACTTTAGGCTTTCTTATATCTGTTGTTGCTTATGTCCTACACGACCTGAAGGAGAGGAGGAGAGGAGAACGCTCGGTTAAGAGACCGCGGTGACTCTATTTTACCTTAAAATGAACAGTAGTGGGCGCTACGGGTCAGCGGAGCTAACCCGGGGGTTGAGAGTGTACCACGTGCCATTCGGTCGTGTGAGAACGGGACCAAAAGAGAATGGGCCCAAATCCGAGAAATCGGGTTTCGATGTATTGTGAAGTTTCAAACGATAAGGTACAAATGAACGTGCGTTGAAATGAGAAAGAGCGAACTTGCGGACAGGACGTTTTGAGATACATTCGTTCCATAAACGTTATTCTCGCCTCCAAAGGAGTTTCGCGGGTTTGTCGCTAGGACCTGTTTTTGTGCTGAAAAGATCAGTTTCCTATAGTTGAGCTAGCCGCGTGAATAATAAAGATACACTAAAGACAAGTTTGGGCATGCAGTTAGCGATCGGAATTTTATGATGGCATACTCACAAAGCTGCTGATATTGTAATGTCTGAGAAGGGCTTCATAGAACCAACTGTAGGCTCGGCGTCGATTAAAACATTTTACCCGATTAATCGCCGCCCCTTCATCGACTAGGTAATCGATTAATCGATCTCCTTTATTTTTATGATAATACTAAAAGAAGCCAATTGTGTTCGTGAATTTGTGATAAACGGAGTAATATACAACTTGCATTATGAATCAATCTCGATGTGTAGTTAAGAAAGCTCAAAGACACTCACACTTACAAATGATTACTTCAGCTGCATGAGGTAAAGAGGTTCGTTGATATTTCCTGGCAAGAGCGACCTCTTTCGATTATTCACAATAGTTTCTGGTACGTTAAACGGACATTCAAACGGCGTTGAAGTGGCCCTGAGCACGTGTAACCTTTTGCACTTGTCTGGAGATAGAAATCTCGCCCAAATATAGTTTACTTTATTTGACCCATAGTTCGCCATTTATACCCGTGCGCAGGTACACATCTGCGTGGTGAAAGCGTTTCGTTTTTACTTTCTTTTGGTTCGTCAAGATATTACCGATTAACCGGTTAAACAATTAATTGTGATTAAATCATGAATCGGTAGATTAATCGACCAATTGACCAGCCCTACCAACCGCTCTACGTGTAACTAGAACTTTAATAGATCTTTCCGATAACTTCAATAACGATTTCCGATAACGACACGAGGCATGCGCAATGGCAAAGTTACAGCGTCCGGTATCAATATCAGAGTTACGAAAATGCTCTACTAAGACTTCCTAATAACTCCGCTACCGCTGATTCAAAAATGTTTTACAACAACCAGTGAACTGGACGAGTGATGATGAGAAAGACTCCATCATCTAATTGAAAAGTCAACTAAAACGCCTCCATCCGTTTTTATGCAATAATGAAAATACAAATATTTGGGTTTCTTCAGTTAATCGGTCCTTAAAAACACCCTTTCTTTCTTTTTTATTTCTAATATATATATATATATATATATATATATATATATATATATATATATATATATATATATATATATATATATATATATATATATATATATATATGTGTATGTATATATTAATAGTTTCCGAGGAACTACCATATAGGATGCTGGGTTCTTAGGTACACGCGCTACACGCACGTGCCCTTTCTCTAGGAATATGACTCCAAGATGATAACCTGTAATTATTGCAATGAAAATTTAACGTACACAGCGATATCTTTGTTTTAGATTCTATCTTTAGTTGTTTACTGCTGCTGGTTCCAGCGCATATGGCAGTGCCTATTGTTGTAACAAAGACATCATGCTCCTTCGTGTTCCAATCATCTAGCAAAAAGAATCTGCGATGCATGATTTCAGTGCATGCATGAGAGCTCGTTCCACCAACGCATTCTTTCCAGCTAAGATCTCTCGCGCTCGCTCGTGCTACATTGACGCGCAGCCCGTGCTTCCAAAATGTCCAAAGCAACAACTTTTAAAAACGATAAGCTAGAAGAAAAAAAAAAACACTTAAAATTGTCTCTACAGTTCCTTTAACCGTCCTGGGCTGAATCGCTGTGCCATGCACGGTGGCCGCATGCAGTGAAAAGAAGAACGTACCTGGTCTCTTGTCGCTTTCGGTTTAGGAAAGTCCACGTCGCAGAACGCTACGCTATCCACCGGAGTTTCGGGATCTAGCGTGGATTGCCTAAGGAAAGAAGAAATAACAACAACCTTTGAACGATATTTTTATTTAAGGGTTACAAGTTGACTTTTCTTACGTCCGCTTACATCCACAGCGTAATTATAAATGTGCATATGTAAATAACAAAACCAAACAGAGAGTATAAAGCACAAGACTTTGAATACCGGGGCCCTGTGTTTTGGACCCCACTTTGGGCGCCTCTGGGCCCCACGTTGGGTGCACAGAGAAACGGCAAAGGACCAGGGTTTCCTCGAACAAGAAATTATATTTAGTGTTAGACAGACGAAACGATGAGTAACAGTGAAGCGCTCCGGCCACTTGGGCCGTTGGCCTATTAGAGACACTCTCGCCCTTTGATACGTAGTTCGCGCGTAGTCCGTGTACGTGCGGCGCGTACCAAATGCGTACATGTCGACCCCAGTATACAGTGGCACTAGTGGAACTCCCACAATGTAAGTTTCACTGTGATTAGCGGAACGTCGCACCAAACGGGCTTTGGCCTCTCTGATGCTGCCCGCTAAAGCATCGAATGCCGAATATTGTGCGCGTCTTTTGAAGAACGACGCTACCTTACCCTGTATGCGTATTCAGCACGCGACACTGTTAGAGCGGACACGACATGGGAGCTTTTGCGCACTTTAGTTTGAAAGGGCATTGCTGGTGAGCAAATTTCACTGCCTAGGTTAGAGCCCAAAGTGAGCACTGTCCACCACACTATATTCTTTTGGACTGAAGCAGAACAAGCCCACCCCCCCCCCCCCGGAAAGCACTCCACTCTCTTTACTTTAGCACAGGAAAAGCTGAATTAGTTCCCTCTCTCGACTTCTCTTCAGCCGCTCTGCTAAAGTGAAAAAAGTGGAGGGCTTTGCGGAAGGGGGCTCTCCCGCTTTTCTTAACTCCAACAGAGTATGATAGTTTTGACGGCATACTAAATTCAATGAGTAAAACCAAAAGAAAAAAAAAATGAAACGGCGATCGCTGTTTCGCGCTAAGACTGTCGCGTTGTGCCTGATGGGCCTGACATGTCCAGTTCGCGCGTTCGCCGTGCGCGCCCGCAGCCAACAGCTGCGCAGCAAGAGCAGAGCTGGCCCCACTGCGCTCAGCTGGCGTCGGCCTTGCGCCGTGCGCGATCTCCCATTACGCAGGCATTAGGCGACCTTCATGCTGCGAGAGACAACAACGAGCCCCGGCGACAACAAGTGTTGCTCGTGCGCCGCGGCCATCGCAGCCGCTCTCGGAGGGCTCGTTATCGCCAATTAACTGCACGGGAGTCGAGCTCTGACGGAGCTCAGCCAGCCCCCAACGAGACGAACCTGGCCGGTGCTTTTTCTGCGGAAACCACAGTGTCAAACATTTGGATCACCTCTATACTTCTCTTTAGGCCACGTATTCGCGTCCTAATAAGTTCCCACCGATAGTTATCTTCACAATTTTCCTGCGGCGCTATCGCATACGCGAGAGCGCTAGAGCGTTTGCAAATTGCTTCATTTGCACGAGCAATCTGTCGAGACCGGTTATAACGAAGTCGGCTATACCGAAATAGCGGATACAGCGAAGCGATCACGATTTATCAATCCTTTTTGCATTTTGTTACAACCGAAGTCGGTTATAACGACATAGCTGATATAGCGAAGTGATTTCCGACTCACGTTGACTTCGTCATAACCGGCCGACAGTAGATCCTTTTCAAGGAAAAAGTGCGCGCCATCTAGTAGCTGGTGCGCCAATTATTAGAGTTCTCCATTGGTTAATCAGACACTCTAAGGACGTATTGAACACGAGTGCTGTCTTAGCGTTTGGCGAGGATTGGGATTCATTCATACGTCTCGAGCCCAAGAAATGGCGATAGCCGGTGTTGCTTAGGGGGCTTTGAAAGGGGTCCCTTAGGTATTAATGCGAGGGAAAACGTACTTCGACTTACAGCTAGAAAAGAGATTCCTAGACGTCGAAGTGAGGTATATACAATAGTTATTTCTCCCCTTCTCCCCAACAATTATTATGCAAAAAGAAGCGTATTCGTTCTTTAATTTATCTTAATTTCCGTGGCTAGCGATTCAACAAATGTGAACAATTTTTTGTTTGTTTTTGTTGTTATTTTAGGGATGAAACCCCTTCAACACATCGAGTGTTCTTCCTTTTCTTTTTTCTTTTTTGTTTGTGGCGCAGTTGGAATAAACAAATAATAAACGCGTAAATTCACTACGAGTTATTCGCAACTTCCATCCAGCTGCAAGGACGTTGATGAGCGGGAGATTTACACCGAGACGGGATGAGACCACACGCTCCAGATCATCCGAACGAGTCGCCTGATGATTTCTCGGTCACCCTGGCAATAAAACTTGCAGGAGAGCGTAAGCATCGCCTTAGGAGTGGAACGCGATAGCTAAACACATAAACCCCACTCGTTGACAAGCCGTGCAAGCGTGTCTGGGTCATGGGTTCCAACCCCGCCTCCGCCTAATATTGTTCCATTTTTTTCTTTAATCATGGCAAATGAATTACTTCATAAAGTGAAATCATTTGAGACATGCGGCGACCCTTAATTTGCTTTACATTCAATGTTTGAATCACTCTCATTCCACGAGTGACGTCACGTTTCACGTGAGCGTAGTGGGTTGTTTGAAATTCCCGCGCGAGGTCATGTATCTGCGACGTCATGACCCTATCGACCATTGCAACCCTGGATTTTCTCGTCCCAGCGATGCCGACCCCGGCTCTTCTGCTACACAAGCTCCTTAAAGCTATCGCTTTAGAATACTCATGTCGTCCCTATCGCCGACGTCGTCACTGTGATGTAAGAAAGCTATGTTGTGTTAGTCATTGACTGGCACTTAAAGGGGCCATGAAACGAATTTCCCACTTTTTCCTTCTTAGCTTTCCTCCTCAACTCACAAATAGCGTATTGTACCAAACAGTTCAAGAAGACGGAAAGGAGGAACTCCCCACTTGCTCAGACCTTCGTTTGTGTACCCGGACACTGCCATTGTCCCCCTGCAAGTTTTGCCCGTCGCTCAAACTCGGCCAAAAGTTGCTTTCCCCACCCCGTTCACCCCTAAGCTGACAGTGCTGTGGAAGCTACGTGCTCTTTGGGCAGGAAACATCTTTGCTACGTGATCACGCTCCCTCGAGCATAGAGAATGAGGTCAGCTGATGAAAGGGAGGTGGCTGATTGGTCCTGTGAGCTCATAGCTTCCACCGCTCTGCCAGCTTAGGAATGAAGGGAAGAAGTGAGGTCCGGTGTCGTGTGACGTGCGTTTGGGCCGGATGACGCCGCAGATGTATCACAGTGAAAAGGCAGAGAGCTTTCGAAGGGGGAAGGTACGAAGTAGCCCGCTCTTTTTTTCAAATTTTCGTACCGAAAATCCGGCTTTTGACTTTCTACCTTCTTTCTCTTGGCCCACAAAACGATATGCTATTAGTAAAATCCAAATCAAAATTCATTTATCTGATCCCAAAATTCGTTTTATGTACCCTTTCAATCGAATTGATCTTACGTTCCTTCTCAAATGGCCGCCTTCAAAGTGCTAAATTTTATATCAACATTTACTCTGCGTTTTAGGATGTTTTATTTGTTATGTATTTAAACGAACGTTCATTGCGGATGCGCTCAACATTTCCTTTTTTTTTTATGTACAGCATATAGGAAGGGTAGAAGCCCAGCGATCTAAGGCTAAGTCGAAAAAAGAAAAGGAAAAGAGCGAAGCACGGCCATGAGCAGCGTGCGTCGGCAGCGCCTGTGGCCTGTTGGCATTTCATCTGTTTTCCTCAACACACATACGTGCGTTCCCATCACACGGGAGGTATGGCGCTCGTGCCATGTCGTTTCGCAACCGACGCCTTCTGCATATGCCGTAGTTGTTGTTTTCCCATGTAGTGGCATGCATGCCGTTGTTAACGTCGGGGCCGTCTGCGTGCAGACGAATTTTGTAGTTGCACAAAGGGAGAACAAAAAATTACGGAGAGGCTAGGCCCACGAAAGTCGTGCACCGTCTAGGCACTGTCCACCAAACGGGGGGAGCCGGTATGCGGTCGGACCACGTAGTTACACACCCGCACATAGAAAACCTCATTGAAACAACAAAATAGAAAGCTAAAAGAACTTGCTTTTATTTGGCACAGAAGGCATCCAGTCATGTAGATGAGCATATCCGCAAAATGTGATGAGTCGCTTTATACATGTTGATGTTGAAAAAAAGATAGGGGCACACATAATCGACCGGCGACAACAAAAGTAATTTAATATATGCAATAATGATTCGTGATATACTTTTGTTATTTCTTTTTGCGAAAACAAATTAAACACAGTTAACAACAACAACAAAAAAACGTAACACAATGTATCGGTTAGATATCACAACGCCAATATGTTTTGTCACTTTAATGATGTGGTATTTCCAAACAGTGAGGATATTTTAATACTATAACTGCTGGAAGGGCTTGAAATAGGAAAGGAAGGCGCAACATGGGCGTCAGTCAAACTTCGTTCTGTTTACGTAACAATGAGGTAGTCTTTTTGAAGTACGTGTCGACACGATGGTGATGCGAATGTTTGTTCGATGTTTTTCTCTTTAATAAATATTCAGCTGAAGTCCAGCACTTGTCCCGTCTACACCTTCTGGCGCACCATAGCCTTAGATGATTTTGTACCACAAAACCTCAATCACTCAATCGGTCTACGCCCTCTTGTCTTTGTTATTTGTGCGCCGTTTTCGTTGAATTAAAACAGTGTTCGGCGTTGTTTACATATATGCGAACCGTACAATAGACACCAGTGGAGCCATTATCAATCTAGTATAGCAGCGGTCCCAGTCATTTCCATTTCAGCTCCGGTAACGATCGCACCCTCTGACCCAATGTTTCTTAGAAAAGCTTTATTTATGTGCAGATTCATCGTGAATATATTCGCACTTTCCCCAATACACCATTTGTTGAACAGTTGAAAGAGCCAGAAGAGGGCTGGTACTATACGTAGAACAACTGAGAGAGAGAGAGAGAGAGTAAGA